CAAAATAATTCCAAATTATAAGGGAAAAATTATTGACCAAAATAATTATGAATACTCGGAATGATTTTAAATATATTCGAATATTCATAATAATAAATAAATTTTGATATTGTAAATAAACAAAACATTGAACACAAAAAAAAAATTATTATTAATTAGACTTGATTTTCTAAAGATATATACAAAAATTTTACAAAGATGCATTCTTTATCACATTTTAAAAATAATATTTATGAATATTTAGAAGCCTTACCAACAAACACTTTAGATAGCTTGTACAGAGAACCTGCTACATGTTTAGCTATTTTCAGGTAATTTATATATATATATATACATTTTTTCTTTCTTTATAACATGAAAACCAAAAAATTTAATTTTTTCGATATATATAATAATTATATGTTATTAAAGGCTTTTACCACCATTAGCAAGACATTTTGTGATGACATTATTATTTATACCACCAACTGAATTAAGTATTACAAAGGATGATTTAAAACTAATGGTTAAAAATCAAGAGGAAGCAATACTGTAGGTTTAATCTTGATCAAATATAATTATAAATATTTTTTTATAGAAATATTAAAAAGAATTATGTTTTTAATAGCAGATTTGAGGATGCATTAGAAAAATTGTCAAAATTACATATATTAATAGAAAAAGATGGAAGAATGATAATGAATCCTCAATTTCAAACAAGTCATCAAAACTGTTTAACTGGAGGGTAGTTATCTTGAATAATTATTATAATATTTTCTAATTAAAATATTAAAAAGATAACTTTTAAAAAAAAATAATAATTAGAGGAGATCATCAGAGTTTTGGTACACCATCTTCAACACATGGAAGATATATACCAAATAATATAGTAGCATTTTTAGATAATTATGCTATGAAACAATGGGAAGAAATATTACATTTCATGGTTGGTACAGAAAATCGGAATGAGCCAAGTAAAGGTGTTTTAAATATATTAATCAGATCACAATTAATGAAAGAGCAGTAAGGTGTTTTTTCTTCAAATAAAATTTCTGAATAATATAACAAATAAATATATTTAAATTTTTTTATAATAATAGCAAAGGAGAATATGAAATTACCAATAAAGGATTTCAATTTTTATTACAAGATGTCAATACACAAGTTTGGGCATTTTTATTACAATATTTAGAATTAGCTGATCAAGTAATGCACATTTATATATATATATATATATATTTTTTTTTTTTTTTTTAATTATAATATATTTAAAAAATTTTATTATAATTTATATATAGATGTTGAATATGAATGTAGTGGAAGTTTTAAATTTTTTTTTCATGTTGGGAAGTTTAGAATTAGGAAAGGCATATTTAATTGATAAATTAACTGAAACTCAAAAATGGTTACTTGATGATTTAATTAATTTTGGTTTAGCTTATAGAAGAAAGGTAAAAATAAAATAAATTAAAAATGTTCCTTTACCCAAAAAATATTTTGTTATTTAATTATACTATATATATCCTAATAATAATTAAGAAAACCTCTTCAAGATATTATCCAACAAGATTGGCTACAACTTTAACATCGGGAAATTCAGCTATTGGATCCACTAGTTTAGTTGGTGGATCGTCGTCATCATCATCGTCATATGTTACTACTGGTGGAAATGAAAGCGGAGTTAATGATCAAGGATTCATCATTATTGAAACCAATTATAAATTATATGCTTATACTGGTAATTATTTTATATTTAATATATATCATGATGAATATATTGATGTTTTAATATTATTTTTTTTCCAAAATAAAAAAATAAAAGAATCATTATTACAGATTTCAGTTATAAAATTATTTTGTGAATTGCAAAGTAGATTTGCAAATATGGTATATGCTAATATAACAAGAGATAGTATTAGATCAGCTTTAAGGCACGGAATCACTGCTAATCAAGTATGTAAAATAACCAATAAATACGAGTTTATATGTTTTTTTTCTAATAAAAATTTTTTTAATGAAAAAGATAATATCGTATCTAACAAGTCACGCACATCCACAAATGAAAAAACAAATGCCGTTACTACCACCTACAGTTGTAGATCAAGTTAGATTATGGGAGATAGAACGTAATAGATTGTCTATTGATGACGGTAATATATAAAAAATAAACAGACAACACTTTTTATTTATATATCATTTAATTAATTGATTACCTTTATTATTATTTCCAGGATATTTGTATAATGATTTTAGAACTCAAGCAGACTTTGATATGCTTTTAAAATACTGCAGGAAGCTAAATATAGTGCTATGGCATAGTGAACAAAAGCGTATGTTTTGTGTAACAGAGAAAGGTCATGAATATGCAAAAAAATTTATAAATAAAAGAATTGCTCAAAGAAAAGCCGATGTTGGTAGCGGTGTTGGAAGTAGTAGTAGCAGTAGTAACAACAGTTTAGGTAGAGTTGGTACTGGTAGTAATAGCGGTGGTAGTAGAATGAGTACTGGTGGTGATACTCGTGCAAGAGTTAATCCAAAATAATTTTTATTTATAGGAATTTAATTATTGTTATTATAAATAAAAAATTATATTTATATATATATATAATACATAGCAAAGAAAAATATTACAAAATTTATTATATTATTATACAAATTTTAAAATTAAAATAATTAAATAACATCATCATTTCATCTTCTCCTCCGCTCAATAAAGCATTTCTTCAACCTTCTCGTCCTCGTCATCGTATTCTTCTTCTTCTTCTTCTTCTTCTTCTTCACAAATATCTGAATCAGGCTCACTATAAGAATGCAAAACAATGGTTCCCAAAGTTAAATTTGAACCAGACCAATTGGTTGAACTTATAATAGGTAAATAAGGGTGCCAACTAGCATCCCTAGTAACTGGTCTATAAAGTAATAGCTCATTACGACCATTATAAAAATAATTATAATAATTTTTTTGTTTTTTGGCTTTTGATACATCCAAAGTTTGAATTACACGTCCATCAAGACTAAAAATCTAATAATAATAATAATAATATTGATTAAATCGACTGTATATCTTAAATATTAAAATTACTACTTACTCTAATACAACCATCTTCAGAACCTGTATATAAATAGCTATTTAAAAAAGTTATTTATTTATTAATTTAAAATAAAACTATATTTCTCCAACAATAATAATGTACCTCAATATAAAATTATTCTATATATAATTTTAATTATAACTATAGTAATTACCTGTGACCAGTGCTAGCAGGTGAGAAATGACAACGAATCAATGTCCTTAGTACACTATGGCCTCGATAAGTCATAACAGATACATTTTGTGGATGTTCAAAATATATATCTCCCGGATATCTCATATGCCTATAATCCCATTTTCTACGTCGAAGATTTACTGGAGGTAGTCTTTTATATTGGTCACCCGACATCATTTTTCTTATGTCCCATAATTTCATTTTTTGATCTTTGCCGTTTGATAAACAATATCTACCATCACCCTTCGATGATACATATGTCAAACCCTCAGTATGACCAACTAATACACCACATTCTTTTTCATTATGCATTGACCGTCGATCCCTACCATATAATAATATTAATATTTATAATTTTATAAAAAAATTTATTATTTAACATACCAAACTTTAATTAAAGAGTCATCGCTGCCACTGAAAAGAACATGCGATGAATCATCAGCAAAGCACACTGCATTAACATGATCCTTATGGCCATCAATTTCAAGAATTACTTCTTTTCTTTCAATATCATAGACTAATAATGATAATAATATGAAGATTTCAGTGATTAATAATTATAATGAAAATAATAATAATAACTATAATACTAATTATAATGGGAATATCAATTATAATGCTAATATTAATTGTAATGATAATAATTACCATAAATACATCTACTAGAACCACCACCAACGAGTTCTCTAGAATCATTGGAAAATCGAATAGACCACAACTATTTAATTAATTATTTGATGAAAAATCAATAGTTATTAAAAAATTATGATATCTACTGTTATCATTCACCAATTTTACTATATCATTACTTGCCGCATATAATTCACCATTGTCAAAATCTAAAATTGTTTGGTAATCTTCTTCAACATCAGTCTTTGCTAGACATACAGATGGTGTTATACTACTGTATGCTATCCATTTATTATCATTACTTAGATTAGCATCCGTTATCGTCCATCTTCCAAATTCCTCCTATTATTGTTATTAATAATATTGTTAACGATATTACTAATAGTGATAATAATAACACTAGTACTAGATATTAATTTACCCCGCTGATAACTTTAATTTCTTTAGGATCCTGTGGATCATTTGTATCATATATGCGAACACGAAAATCTTTACTACAAGAGTAGAATAATGAGCCATCTTGAGAATATTGTCCAGAATATGCAGGTTCAGCATATCGAAGAATCACTTTTCCATTAGTGTTTGGAATGAATTTCTAGTAATGTCGGATTACTATTATTATTTGACTATTAGATTTTAAGGTTTTTTCCTTCCACACACACAAAAAACAATTAGCTTACTTTTCTAAATGGTAGGTTAGAAATTTCTCTTGGAACCAATTCACGTAACAATAATTGACTACAAATATTTTTTGAAAATAGTTTAATTCCATTCAATGTCTTTTCGTGCGAAGGACCTATCTATATATGTAAATATAAAATATCAATCCAATTAAAAAAATGCCCAACAATTAAAAATGATTTTCTTTCGTACATACTTTTGCACATCCAAATTCACCAGAATTGAGCAATCTTTTACCAGAATTAAATTCACCATTTTCACTATCATCGTCGTCATTATCAATAATATTACTTGAATTTGTTATTTCTTCTTTAAATTTATTGAATTTGATTAGATTTAGATCAAATGAAAAAAATAATTCCAATTATTATTACCAATTGAATAGTCGAAAAGATTAAATAAACTCATATTAAATATTATAAAAAAGTTCAAATAGCATCCGGAGCCTGATGGGTCAATACTTAAAAATTTATTTGAGCTTCTTATTGAAATATTGATTGGAAAAATGATACCCTTAAGAAATATTAATGGATTTAATCACGATTTTCAGTCCAGTACTTTTCCAAATTTGGAAATAACAAATATTGCAATGATCAACATCCTAAATAGTAAATTTGCACTACGTAAAAATTTGATTGGCTGAATTTCCGCCTTTTTCTCCTTTTCTTTTCTCAAAAACTCACATAATATGAAAAAATTTAACTGTTCATAGGTCTCCTGGATGTGTGTTCCCACATCAAAATCCATTTAAACAAATATTTAATTATTTTAATTTTTTATTTGAATAGAATTTCATGGGTTTTTTATGAACAGTTAAATTTTTTCATATTATGTGAGTTTTTGAGAAAAGAAAAGGAGAAAAAGGCGGAATTTCAGCCAATCAAATTTTTACGTAGTGCAAATTTACTATTTAGGATGTTTATCGTTGCAGTATTTGGTATTTCCAAATTTGGAATAACGAATGATCAACAAAGTTTCAGCCAATGAAATCAAATGTCCACTATGCTAGTTGTACATGGGCATGCTGCAACAAAACCAGACAAATGTGAACATTGGTATTAACAAGAATTACAGGGATCAAAATTTAGTCATTTGTAATGTGATCATAATTAACAGAGCCGTTTTTTGTTTATATAAACAAAAAACGGCTCTGTTTAGACTATTATAGTCTCAGGTATGACGTGCGTTTTGCGTTCTACGACACATTCGAGTGACGTGTGTTTTGCGTTACCCCCGTCATACCTGAGACGTTTATAGTCTATATATTGGGTGCTATATAGGTTGCATTCGTATTGCCATCTGAGAACCGCTGAGACATGCTCCAGTATGATGTACGTTTTGCATTTTAGACTGCACTCGAGTGACGTGTATTCTGCTTTTTACGACACGCACCATGGTGGCGCATTTTATGTATCAGGCCACGTGGATATAATGTATGTCAGTTTAGTAATTCTGGCCAATTTCCGTCATTGGCTCACATGGGCAAAAAAAATATGTCCCCAGTATTGATTGCGGGTTGATTAGCGGAGTATATATTTAAGAAGGCGCCTGATTTTTTCAAGCCCAGACTCCGACATGTAACATTTGTGTCCATCTTCCACACGTGTGGACGGTCACCTATAAGTAGCACTCTTGGAAAATGCTTATTTTGGCCTTGTATCTTGAATTCGAATGCCAGGTTTGAGGCACGAAGTGTCGAAATAGAGTTCGTGATCTGGCTTTGCATGTCGCATTCGAATGCCAGGTTTGAGGCACATAGTGCCGAAATAGTGTTCGTATCCTGGCTTTGTATGATGCATTCGAATATCGATTAAGGATGAGGCACGTAGTGCCGAATTGTTAACTGTTATAATGCATTCGAATATCAATCGAGGATGAGGCACGTAGTGCCGAATTGTTAGCAGTTGTTAGCTTCGTATAATTCATTCGATTATCACCCGATGATGAGGCACGTAGTGCCGAATTGTTATCATATCTGGTAATACCCCAAAGCATAATTTTATATATTATATATCTTTCTGTAATAATTATACCTTGGGGTATTACTTTTTTCAGTCTTTAGCTGGCTTATACTAATACCTAAATCGTACTTTTATATATTTCAGAATATTACTATATCGAAAAACTTTGGGATATCACTATATCGAAAACTTTGGGATATACTATTGAAAACTTTGGGATATCACTATGGAAATTTTTGGGATATCACTATATCAAAAAACTTTAGGATAATATTATATCAAATATGTATCAAAAAACGTGAACGCTATTTATAATCAGAAAATGAACTTTGGAGTATCACTATATCAAAAACTTTGGAGTGTCACTATATCGAAAACTTTGGAGTATCATTTTTTTCAATATCTTAAAGTATCATTTTTATTAATACCTAAATTGGGCAACACAAAAATGGTTATCGAATATGTACCTCATATATCAGAAGCACTTACCTGAAATTTATCTCAATCAAAATCGCGCGACGCAAAAACCTGAACCTCCAAGGTTCAATCCGGATTTTCATATACTGAACTTTTTATATGTTTTATGATACACTTTACTTGGAATACGAAGTCCATGAGTCATTGCAAATCGATCCATTAAGGCTACCATCTCTTGAGATTTTTGCAGAATGCTAGATTTATATTTTTCTTGTTAGTTCTTTGTAACATTTTTATTATATTTGTATTCTGAATTTTAAATGCAAGAATCAAAAGACATACCCCTTTAAAATTTCATACCTATAACCTGTTTGATCAGCCAGAGTTAATAGCATGCATTATTAAAAATCTGGTACCAAAAGATCTCGCAAAATGTCTTCATATCAATTATATATGGGAAAAAGAAGTGAGACGTGAGTTCCTTATAAGGCAAAAAAAACTTGAAGATAGATATTGGGACTTGAGGTGCAAAATAAAAAAAGCGATAAAAGATCTTGATAGTTGTTACGAACCTAGGACTCATCCAGAGATAATCACAACTGGGCCACCAATTCAAGATATCACGGAACCGAGTGCAAGATATGATTCTCTGCTTAATGAAGAAACTAAAACTTTTGATAAACTACAAGAATTAGAAAAATGTATGTTTGATAGTGGTATTATTGATGAAATAGAATGTGAGTTATATAATTTGTATAAATTATTTTGAGATATGTTCTTTTTCTAAACATCCCATGTATATCATATCATACTCTACTAAGATACCTATACAATAGAATTAAATTTTTTCATACATAAATAATATCCAAGTTCAAATAGATAGACTTGGTTATCCAGCCCACGCATCTCGCAACCGCTCACTTTTCCTCTCCAACCCCCATGTGTGTCTCAATATAACAAACCATATAACTACAATAATTAACAAGGTAAGAAAGATATATGCTGATAATGATGACATTAAACTACTTGCTACAATAGGAATCGCTCCTATTCCTCCTATTGGAAGAGGCAAAGCCTCGAGACTAGGTCTCATCTGAGTATGCAATTCAATCAAAGAGGATATATTATTTTCTGGCTGTGCAAGGTAAGGAGTTACCTTTGGTATTTCTTGGAGTATATTGTTGTTATTACCATGTAATGGGTCCTCGACCCTAGTTTCACTAATATCGATTTCGTCACTTACCTTGGGAATAATCTTGGTATCTACTTTTGGAGATGAGGCATAGCCTTGAATTACTAATTCCTCAGATATAGAAGCACTTTTATCATCAGTGTGGTCCGGTATATCAGTATTAATTTTTCCAGCTCGATCCATACTTTTTTCACGTATAAAATATTGACTGAGATCTTTACTAGGTATATCAGATGCGATAGCATCATCACTCCGTGTGACAGAATTTGGTATTTTTTTTCATCTGCCTCGCCGCCGATCTTAATTGGTTCTGACGATAACTTGGATTCTAAGGAGTGTATCTCTGAAGTTTTCAAGGCCAGATCATCTTTCATTTGTTTCAATTCATCATCTTTCGAAGCCAATGCATTCTCCATATGCGCCAATTCACTATTTTTCGAAACTAGAATAAAATTCAAGGCAGATAATTCGGCCCTAAGGGGGTCAATCTCAGATTCTTTCATAGACAAGTCCTTCTGAGCTGAAGATAATTTCGTCTCCAATGCCTCCATCTTAGATAAGAAATCTTTCATTTCTTTGGATTTTGTACAAATATCAGCCTTGGATTTGGCAAGAGAAAGATCTTTATCAGTGATACGGGATTTGAGAGTATCTATCTTTGAGCGCAGTCGCTTAACCTCATCTATAAGCTGATATACATGCTTGGAGAGTTTCTCATTATTGCGACGTAATTGATCATTCTCCTTATTGGTATTTTTGCTATGATTCGAATATACCACTTGCATATTTTTATATTCACTAGTAATTTCGGAATTGGACTTGATACTATCACGTAATGCCTCCTCGAGTTCTTGTTCGCGGGCACTACCAAGCCTATACCCCTGCCCTTGTATTTTTTTGGATTCCATACTTTTGGTATCTCGCAATGTAAGTACATTGGCCATATGATTATTCTCATATATTCCGAAAAAAATAAATAAGTAATGGATTTACTACGCAAGATACATACTGTCATAAAGTAATTAAATATTAATAATACTGATAAAATACAAAGCTTTTAATTTACAGAATCATGCCTAGATATCTAAGAGCCGATGCAACTCCCCTTTCACCTGAAGCAATTTGCGAGATTATGAATGCTAAATATACAAAAAATGTATTATCAGTTTTAGTCAAAAAGTATAAAATATCAAATACACGTATTTATAAAATTTGGAGAGGACAAGAATACTATGCTGGTCTTACATTTAAGGTTGATCAAAATCAAAATATTGATTGGGATAAAGAAATCGAAAGTATGTATGATTTATATGCGGAACTTCCACCAGAATTACACCAATCTATAACCAATCTCTCATAGGTACACTATCTGGATCGTATAAATGTCAAACTAATATATTACGGAGTAAATTATATTGTACTAATTGCAGTCATTATAATTCATATCCATAGACCAATTCAATACCGATGCGGAACCTATATCATTCGGATAGTATATATAACCAATATCGAATAGAATGCAAATAAGTTTTTGATTGGTATCATTTTTTTTTTCTACTATATATTTACTATGGAAAAAAAACAAACATATCAACCCACTCGTGTACGTAAATTTCTCAGACCAGATGCTACTCCTTTATCACCTGAAGATATCGAAGAAATCAAGAATGCACCCAGCAATATTCCAAATGCAGGTCGTGTTATGTGTAAAAAATATCGCATAGGTATGACCAGGTATAGAGATATAATCAATAATCGAATACCTCGTGAACCAACCGAAGAATGGCTCCATATTGTAGAATTGGTCAAGAATTCGTCTGCACCAACAATATTACCTGAGAATCCTAACCGAACTGATGAAAATACTTTGCATCTAGAATCTAGTGTTGCGCCTATTAATCTTCCAGTACCTGTAGTTGTAGGAGATACAAAAAAGAGGAACACAAATCCGTTCATATGTCTGATCCGTCTTCCGATAGTAGTCGTGTGACATTTCCCTGAGGCTGCTTTTCTATATGTGAAAATAAATTCGAAATTCGTGTCACATGAAGTTTTTTTAAAATATCTCGTTATTTTTATAATAAACTCGAAATTCGTTGTTAGACTAAAATGAAAGTACTCCATTAAAGCTTTCTAATGAATACTTTTTCATACCGAAAGGTCTCCTCTACATGAATTCACGGCTATTCAAAAACGGTATTACTTTTTCACTTCAAACCTCAGATTATTTCTCAATATCGCTTTAAAAGACTTGATAGTAAATGAGAAGGTGTAGAATACTTTAAGCTTTCATATGGTCATTACTTTATGGGGGGTATTGGTTAATAAGTTTTAGAGAGGTTCACGAAAAACTATTTTATAGAAATTTTAATAGTCATGAAGAATTTATGTAGATGGGATTCAGCAAAAACTAAAAGGTATTTTATTAGTGATTGTTTTATATTTCTGACTTTATATTGATTAAAGTTTCATTAATGATTATTATGAATATCCATCAATCAGTAGTTGTTATAGCAGCATTAAACAATAATATGCAAACGACGACAACGAATCATCTTTTTCGAGGATGATAATAAAGATTAAGATCCAGCTTGTATAGGAGCGATCGAAGTAACTAACTAACTTTTATCAATTATTCAATAGTTTGTGTAGGTGTAATCGAAGTAAGCATTAAGGACAAGATCTATGAACATAATATACTAACAAAACGTTTTATCAATTATTCAATAATTTGTATAGGAATGATCAGTAAGCATTAAGGACAAGATTAAAGCTCCGAACGGTTCAGTTCGGTTCGGTTCGGTTTACATTTGAACCAAAAATTTCAGGTATCCTAAATTTGTTAACTATGCAAAAATAAACATAACATAATAACTTATAATGACTTGTGGCTGAATGTGTGTTGCGAAGTAAAAATG